GTATAGTCAAAAAGACGATGAGCGCATCGAACGAATATCAATCGGCGGCCATGATGGCAATACAAGCTGCAATTACATCCTATCGAGGGAGTCACCTTGGCGAGCGATAAATCGACTACCGTAGCGCCAATTGCATCGCCGGAGAAAAAAGTGATCTTCTTAGAAAACACACGACCGGATATCCTGTCCGCGTTGCGCAACCTGGTCCGATTAAAAGTGCACCTCCCACGCGCTTTCGCGTACAAGGGAAGAGCCTTTACCTGTAGGACAAGTGAATAATTTAAAACTGCTTTTCCTTTGCCGGGAACCCTAGCTGATGGGTGAACCTTGTTGACCTTGTTATGCGCTCCGAGTTGAATTCCGAATAAATATAATTGTTTGTGCTTCAGTCGAATCGATTGTGCCTTCTTTCTTGAGATTAATTTGCACGGGCGACTTCAATTTTTAATTTACGATTTCGATTTTCATATTTACGTAATTCCATTTAAGATTCTAGAAAAATATTATTATTCAACAACGAAAAAAAGTAGCTGTATAAACGTATCCAAATAGGCACTCGACAATATCAATCTCGACAAATAAAAAAAAACGTTTTAATTTTTTTTTCTTGTATACATATAACCACAGGAAATTGAATGTTAATACGCCAGGAAACGTATCAGCATTTCAAATCACTTTTGAAAAATAGTAAACGCCCGTAAAACCGGTTTTTCACGCGCTCGTAGCCTCTTACTTTCTTTTTTTCTGTCTCTCGGTTATTTTTAAGAAGAAAAAGAAAAGAGCAAGCGGCCAAGATGACGACTGCTACGGCGTTGTTTCAAGCCCGCGGAGATTTAAAGGGCATCCCCGCTGTGAAAAGGGTCCCTCCCTGAGGTGTGAACGTAAACGCGCACTACAGGCCGCGGCAGGGAGGAGAGTCGGGCAAACAGTTTTCGGTGCCTGCGCACTCAGCGACCGCCGTCTCTCTACCTGCGGTTTTCGGGCACCTACAGGAAAATTCGAAGCAAAGTGCTTTCGCCACAGACGGTCCTGCAGTTTTGTGCCGCTGCGTGAATTTGTTCTGTGCGAATTTCAATGCGGCCAACGTTCACCAGGTTGAAATAGTAAATTCCACGGACATTGAGTGAGCGCTGTTTCGACGAATCATTATGCGTGGGAAAATCGTTAATTTTACTTTGCCGACTTCGACCTGAGGATTTTTGCGCTGGACTAACCCTCGATCGTGGGGTGCCGTTTCAAAATCGTAACTCAAACTCTGCGTCCAGTCGATCACTCAAATTGAAACTGGAATTGCTGCAACTGATTATTCGAAACCCATATATCCATAAATTTTGAAAGAATTTTACCCGAAAACTTTCTATACGGCGAGGCGTCTGTCAGTGACATACGAAAGGCGACACCGAGTAAAGTAGTGGAGTGGAGTAAGTAATGAATAAAGCTCATTGCTAATTGGTCATCCATTAACTTGACAGCTCTATGAAGCAATTGAGGTTTTCAGTGCTTCCCGACGCTCGTCTTATCTCTGTCGATGTCTTTTGTGCCGCGCACGTCTTTTTTCCTTGAGTCGTAAAATATCATTTTTATTGCACTCGCGGCTACTGTTGGCGTTTGCTGTTTCCATCCGTTTATCCACTATCGCGTTTTTTTTCTTTCTCCCTCTTCAGTGCGATACATCGGCTAATTTTCGTGAAAAATAAGTTAAAAAATTTTTCAAGAAGTTCTACTCGGACATTAGTTCCGTTCGTAAATCCATTAGAGACACGCGCAGCTACATCACTCGAAGTTAGCAGTCTTCTTAGCGATTTCGAGCCATTAACAAACGCGAGACTAGCTGTCAAGGCAGATTAAAGACTGACGCTTAAGGCAGTGCTGAGATAAAGAATATATACGCGCCATTCAACCTTTAATGAAGCTTCCGCGCGCGCTAACAACGTTGTAATGGTTATAGTGATAAATATTTACGCGAGTTGATTGAATGCACTTGTAATTGTCGATCTTCTTTTACGAGGCTTCGTAAGTCAAGTGGAATAATTAAAATATAGCAACAAGTCGTTTCGACCTTTATTGGGTTAACAGACTCTGTCGATTCGTTGAATACCTAATTTTACCCTAATTGAGCTGTAACCGGTAATTGTAGTAAATGGCTGACTGCTCCATTCGATATTCATAGTTTTGTATTTTTATTATAATCGGACCGCGGCAATGCTACCGATTGTCGCGCACGCGTCTAGCTGTCCGAAATAAAATCCCACCGAGCTCCGAAAAAACGCGAAAAAGAAAATAGAACAGCGAAATGGTATCGACCACCTTTTCTGCGACCACCCAGGTGCGATGGAATATTAAAAGTCACCGGTGTCGTCGTTGTCGTCGTCTGCTGGCAGCAAAGTGGGCCAAGCTGAGAATATGCGTGTGTGGGTCAGTGCCAAATCTTTTCGCGTCTGTATATTATGTGCACATGTATGCGTGAGAGAGACTCACGGTCAATGTACGCGTGAGACGGATGTGGAGGCCGCCGCCGCCACCGCCTCCTACATCATCTGTTATCTCACTCGTGTCATCGGTATATATGTGTAACAGCTACCGCATCGATGATTCCGCGCTGATTTTAATTTTGCTGTGCCGCAGCTCGATACTCGATTGTTATACTTGCTTTTTATTTTGCTTAATCAAGCGCAGTTACACGAATGATTCTGTCTTCTTTTTTTTTGTTTTACGCGAGGCAGGTTCGTTTTAATTAGAGTGCTGGGTTGATTGAACGAGTGAATGCAAGAATTGTGCGTATGCCGTCTTTGAACTTTATCTAATCGAATTGACGTTCAGCAAAGTTTGTCCTTGATATTCGAAAAGTTGATATATTATACACTTCAATGTTAAATTCCAATTCGTACAATAAAAAAGCATCAAGCGAATTTCGTGTACTTTCTATCGAAAGTGCGGGTAAAATACATTTTACGGAAAGATGTTATTTTTTGAATTAGTACGAGTACTTCTACAAGTAGCTTCTCGTGCGCGAACGAACTTTTACACTTTCGATTCTCTCTCTCTCTCTCTCGCTCTTAAAATATGAGTGACAAAAAAGAAACGAGAAAATCGCTGTATTTAAAATACATCAGTGCGGGATCAATTGATCTGAAATTAAAATATAATCCAAGCAGGCGGCGAATAAATTAAAAGCCGGCCAATAAAGAAACACATTATCCTCGATCTCTTAGCTTTTACACAAACACACCCGTCGATGGGCATCATCACAATGTAACTTTCTTCACCCGCGGACACATTACACATCAACAACCGTTCTTGTAATTTATAACCATCGGCCGATCTTCATCTTCATTTTTTATATCAATCTTTTTTTTCTTCAAGCAAAAAAGAAAAGCTCCCGTTAGTCACATCTCTCGAGGTACAGGTAATAGAAGAAATTACGTAAAAAAAATTACATAAACATCGAGATCTAGGTCGATTTTTGAATATCCTTGAAAATTGCACTGATCGGCTGCGAATAGCCAATTACTCGGCTACTGGTATTTCACCGATTTCTGCTTTTTAGTAGCGGCTTATCCGCAAATAAAACTTGCCTTGGCGGAGTACAGTTGCAACCGATCTGTGCATTTTTCACCGATATGATTTCACTTCGGTTGACATTTTTTCGCAATCAGCTGACATTGACGGCGATTTTCACCGTAGCGCTAATCCGTCTCGTTAATCATCGAACCGATCTCGATCGGGCGCTCGCCTCGCTTTCTCGTTGCATAACGGAAAAGTCCGTAGAGTACTTCTTAACTTTACGCCCAACCCACTTTCCAAAAAGCTGCACGTCTATTCTAATCTCTGCCACGGGAGGAAAGAAAAAAGTAAAAACTCGCGGGACTCTTCATTCAAACTCGTTCCTCTCTCTCTCTCTCTCTTTACGTCATTCGTAGCCGCCTCTATGTATACACGCGCGAGGTATTACGGTAATCGGAGAGCGTGTCCGCGTAGCGTGGTTGGAAAGTTCGATCGGTAGGCGTGCGGACGACGAAAGTCGGTGACAAGTCTTACCACACGCTGCCTCGTTAGTTAAAATCCGACGCGTGTGCACTTTCACGACGATGTACGTTATTGTCGTGCGTCATTAGAGCTCCTTGACATTTCACATCGCCATTACGCGGAAACAACGAAATTGCGTTTACACGCGGACTATGAGCTTATCGTTATCGCTCCGCGATCGTTACGGTGCAATTAATATAGACATTGCGATTATCTGATAATTTCTTTTCGTGCATTTATTATGCGCTTCCTTATCCGATAGCGACATGATTGATCGATTCGTTCGTTATCTACGCGCGCGAAAGCACACATCTCCTTTTTGTCCCCGGAATATCTTGCACATAATACACTTTTCTCTGAAAAACAAAAGCCTTGGCAAGACAAGCAAAATCCAAGTAAGAGAATTACAACTATAAGCCTCCTCATTGTAACGACCAGCGCATCTATAAAACCGCGTCGTAAACAGGCAGCCGATTTTTCGTTCGCATTAATGTCGGCAGAAAATATATAATCCTTTCGTCTAAGTTCGCTTATAAGGCAATTTGCAAGTGTATATATTGCAGAGTATATACGTGCAAGTGATCCGCGGCATACTTAAGGCTAAGTATCGAGAGAGACAGGTATATATATATATAAGCCTTAGGCTGTCGGTCACTGACACTCTTTCCTGAAGCAGTGCGCCCTGATCTTCTTCTTGTTGCACGAGACCTTCTTCGCGCGAAGAGGTGAGCGTTGCGCAGAGCTTGATCGCGCGCGGCTTAGTTCGTCATTCTAGTTTTCGCCCTTTTGCTATCGCGCTCGCCGCTGCCTCTTTGTCTCGCTCGGTGCATATTTTCATATCACGCCGAGACAACGGGACAGACGCTCTCGCCGCTGGCGTCGTGTCGTCGATCCGCCGATGGATCGTCGTTCGACGACCTATCGATCTCATTCACGCAGTTGCATTAACTTTCGAACCCTTCTGTGTATTTCAGATAATCGAGAGCCGAATCCTCGACAGAGCAGTCACTCAAATGGTAAGTTCGCGCTCGAATGAAGATCAAACGAGGGCGTGCGTCGGACGGCACGTACACGTACAGTGCATCGGCGAGAATGAGATTCGCGGCAAAGGCGCGCGCGGAATTTCGGGCGACGAAATGAAATTGACAGTTGCTCCGAGGAGCGCGCCACAAAGAAAATGCGCCGACGGAGAGGAGAGAAAGAGCGCGCGGTGAAATCGAGCGGAAACGCACCGTCTACGGGAGCTTCCAAGTCGTACTCTCGATCTACTTTATTTTTTTCCCTCTTCTTTATCGATATCGTCGTCTTTCGGTCGCCACGATGTCGCGCTTCGGCGAAATCCGATAGCGCAGAGCGTACGCGCCACTTGCCGAGATAATTAATAAAATGCTCTTATCATTGGCTATCGGATTGATGGGAGAACAGAGAAATTGCAATCAATTTGATAGGCAGGTCGGAAAATTCGAGGCATCGGAAGCCATCTCGCGCTTATCAATTTTCCTCTCTCGTCGAGCCAAACCGCACTGGAATAAAAAAAACTCAACGCTCCTCTTTCTCTCTCTCGGTCGTCCTTTTTAACCCTCTCACTAAGATTCTTCAACGATTCGAAACACACAGACACATCTAATTTCCTCTTGTCCTAAGTTTTTTCATCATGTTCGCTTATCACTTTCTTTTCGCCCCGACATACCTTTGCGCCGGCAATCCCTACGTTTCGCAAGCGAGAGTGTAGCAAATCAGGCAAAGTATATATACCTACAGCGACATAGACTCGCACAACAACGCGTAGCGAGCGAGGAGGTTTCTGAAAGTTTTTCGCAACCTTGGGGCTTCCACTCTACCGTGTAGTCACTGCCGCGAAATACTTTCTCTCGCGAAGAAGAGACGAGAGTAGGCAAAAGGAAAAAAAGAAAAGAAAAAAGGACGCGACGAGAGTTATTTATGCGCCCGCGCGCGCAGAGCTTAGGACAGAAAAATTTAATTAGATGTCGAGCACTAAAGAGACGTACGACTCGAGCGCATCACACACGTGGGTGGTTTTTCTCTCGCCACCCATGTAAGGATTACTTTATGGGATTGCCGTGCTGTGCTTCCGAAATGAATGGCCTCGGCGGCAAGATTCCGAAGGAATTTATAATTTTTTATTTTCTGCGACGCGATATATTTAGATAGGAAGCTTGTGGGAAATTCGATCGTTGGAATAGGCAATCTACTTGGACGGCAGGTGAAATCAGCGAACATCCCGTCAAAGTACAAACAAGTGCCGATTTCAAACAAAAAAAAAAAATAGAAAATAAAACAGAAGAAGAAGGGAGTTTTACGATAGTTCGCGCCAGGGTAAACACCTCCGTCGTCCTACCTGCTCTCTTTCAGCAGTATCGAGTCTCTCTTTGAAGAAGAAAATTATTTTCTTCAGCGTCCATTTTTTTTTAATCCGTGCGCCGCGCAAGATGTATTTACGGCACGATAGCAGGGGGATCAACGAACAGTTGCGCAAGAATTTCTTTCATCTTTATTAGCCACCTTCCTCGCGAGATTTTATCGTTTTTCGCTCGAGAAAAAAAAGTATGTATTTTTAACACCCTTTCCGGAATCCATTTCTTCGCGAGCAAACTTCTTATAAATATCTTATAAATATCTTTTGTCTTCGATAGGTCGCTGTACACTTTATGGATTGGGTTGTGTAATTTTTACATCGATAATACGGGATTTATAATTTTTTACGATTTTTCGACACAGAAATTATTTTTAAACGAAAAGGAATGCTTATGCCTTTTGTAAATTGACTCTGGAAGTTTCTGAATCACGACTGGAAAATCTCCCGTTTAACGTTCTTTTTTTTGGCACGTCGACTGACTTCCGAGTCTGTAAAAATCATGTTTAAGAATGTTGCGGTTACAAATACTCGTAAACTCGGGATTAATCCTGGAAGATTCGCTCGTATCAAGTACCGATTGTCGCGGATCGTTGAATCAGGCAATTTTCTGGCCATCGGCATTATACGAGATGCGTTCTTCGCGAAATCAGCTTGTTTATTCAGTTGCATCCGTCAGCGAAAAATTCCTCGAAGGTCGAAAAACGAAAAAAAAAAACATTCCGAAGGAAAAACCGAAGGGCCCACCTCTTTCGCGCGAGAATTCGAACAAAGAAAATAGGCAAACGCAGGCGCGCACGGAGCATCTGAAAGTCAATCGGTGAAAAACAGAAATACAAGCCGTCCGCGCTAAAAGAGACGAAGAAAAACTGGCGCATATAAGCCACATACGGCGCCGATAGTCCGTCGGAATAAATCACCTTTATCTCGGTCGCCGCGCACGGGGGAGACGCGCTCGCAACAGCAATTTCAATTAAAAGCGCGAGGATAAAACTGTCGCGCGGCGGCGCCAATGCAACGCAGGTACGCGCCCTCCTCCTCGGCCGCCGCCTTCGTAATTTGTATCTGGGGTTTCTCTTTCCTTCCCCCGGTCTAAATTTAGTCGCGACTCGCGCGCGCGGCCAATTGAGCTTGGCTTCGCTGCGGGGAATTTGAGATACGAGAGAAAAGAGAGAGAGAGAGTGAGAGAGAGGAGCTACACGCCGGATAATTATCGGCGATTCGCGCGCCGCGCCGCGCAACTACTGCGCCACACAGCGATCTGTGTGACTCCGACTACTAGTGCTCGGGCTACCTGTAATTTGCGTAATCTTTGTTGCGCTCGCCAGACTGCGCTTGTCTTTTTCCGACGATCTGTCTGCTACGTGTGGCGCCAGGCTATTAATTGGTCGGGGCGCAGCGCGTCTCGCAATTCATAAATGCGCGCTCTCTGTCTCGCGGCATCGCTGTCGAAAAGTTATTGTTCCAGTTGCGCGGACCGGCCGCGCGCGTTTATCGTTCGCCGGCTGCTGAGCCAGCGAAACTTTTCCTCGTCGTGGCCTGCCAAGAGGCTCGCGAGCTCATTTCTTAAGGCGCACGAATCGCACACCTGCCCGGCAAAACTCGCGCGAGCGAGCGGCGCCCAGCGCCCGCCTGTTGATGCAAGATCGCGCGCTCCACCGGATCGAACGCCAGCACGCGGACTGTTGCATCGTTCGTCCTTCGACGATGGAACTCGAACGAGCTCTAAGCTAATTTCTCGTTGAGTTTCGAGGTCGCTGGCAGTATTTTCCGGATGAAATAAAAAAAAAAACTATTTCAGGCGCAGACAAGTTATTCCCGCTGACGGTGAAAATATTCATCCTACGTAACAAGTCGACGCGCAACTTATCATCGTCGTCGACAAACCATGAGTAGGCTCTATTGTACTAGACTACCTTTTTACGAGCACCCGCGCGCTGGCCCAAGTATCGCGACAAGCAAACAAAAGGGCAACAAGGGCTTATCGGGCCAAGGCAATCCGAACGAAGGCAGAAAACCAAAAATGAAAAATCTGCGTTCCCACGGCTTTGAGGAAGGAAGTGTCTGGCCGACCGCGAGGATTCCCACACGCGAGAGCGTCGGAGAGAGAGGAAAGAGATGCCATGGACCATGGATACGCGTCGTTGAAGCTTTACAGAAATGCCCGCGGGCGTGTGCACTTTCTCATTAATTTTTGTGCTATCCGTAAATGAGGCGAATTGTTTTTTTTAGCGATTTGGTGTTTACACTGCGTGAGGTGTGATTGTTGTTTGTAAGAATGGCACGAGTCGCCTTATCAGTCGATCCATGTGCATAAAAGACTCTTGCTACGTATACTTGTTTTTGAGCTACTTTTATTATTTATGCCAGTACAAAACGACAAAATTCAAGCAAAGAATTTGCCTGTAACGATCGCTTGTCGACTGGTACACATAACAACCGACTGTCGTTCTGATTATCGACTGACCCATGGTTGATATTACTGGAAAAATTTATATCGGGTCCCGAAGTTTCACCATCGTGTCTCTTCGCCGACTCGTTTTCTGATCTACATTGTAACTTTCACACGTTCAATCCTGGCGCGCGCGCACTTTCAAATCGAGAGTGCAAGGAAAAAAACAGCTTAAAATCGGTTCGCTTATTTGTGCGCACGCCTATGAGCGTTTTTCTCAAAGTAGGACACCCCATACGACCAATATGTCCGAGATGAAGTTTCGTTGGCATTATCCTTTTATTTTCTCTTTCGTCGCAAACGCGAAAAGTAAAAGTGCAGCGTGTTCTAAATCAAGTTGCATTTAATTTGTCAGTTACTGGAAATTTATGACACAAAAAGGTGTTTCTACTTATTCGAAACCCGTCGAATTAAGGCCGATTACTTAATGTCGGTTAGAAGTCGTTGTATACGAAACTTTTCGAAACTTTCCAATCCTGATTCATCAAAAATATTTTCTTTATACGTCCTTCGCGTAGCTTTCCCATTTGATTTTATTATTCAAATTATTATCTAATCGAGAAAGAATAATTCAATTACAGCTTAATTGCAGCTTAAGTCTGATTGTGACTTACGAAATTTGTAGGTTTTATTGGAAAGAAATGGACACCGTCATTTAAAAAAAGCTTGACCCACTAACATTTTTCAAGATGCACTTTTACTTTCGAGAAATACTTGGTCGTCTCTCTTACATACGAATGGCATACTCTCTCTTTCGCTCTCTCTCTCTCTCTCTCTCTCTCTCTCTCTCTCTCTTTCTCTCATCTAGATCAATTTTAATCCAATTGCATTTCCCGCCATTGTTGACATTGTCGCTTTAATTATGTGAGGGGTGGATGTTGTTCCTGCCCGTATTAATTTCACTTTGTTTAGATTACACAAAGGGGACGCTTTTGCTTTATCAGTTGGCTCGTTTGGGCTTCTTATATATATACATATATACGGCTGTTTGTTGGTTTTTGGAACATAGCGTCTGCGGGGATTTTATCATCTATTTTTTGTGTCATGAATGGACTCATTGAACCGTGATTTTTTTCAGTCTTTCTTGATATTTTACTGATAACACACAGTGTATACTTTCGTAAAATTGCCGAATTTTAATATCGACGTGATATTTACTATGTTTGACGGTCGTTGTCACGATGATTTTG